AAAGAGCAATGTCCAAGACTCAAGGGACTAAATCCTGGAGAATATCAGATACTTTCTGCAAAGTGTCAGATCACCAACCTGGCATGTGTAGTTACATTAACAGGCTGTTTAAAGTATTTCAAATCTACTTACAAAACCATTTTCCATTTGTCACTTGAATTGTAGGTAGCCCTTTTCCCTCAATGTATTAAACTATAGCGATCTAAAGAAGAAAGTGAATGCTCCTACACAGATCAGAATGAAAAGCTATTTTTTCATCAAACCACTGCTCATTGCCTTGTCAATCTCAGAACGGGTCTCAACTTACTGAGGTGTTTTTTAGAGGTCATTCTAGTTCAAATGTGGCATGACCTTGCTTACCTTAAGAAACTACAAACTAAAACACAGTAATAGGGTTTGTTACTAACTTCTCTGAAATGAGGGCAGTTAATGTGTAATTAACTAGATGGATATGATATTCTTGCAATTATAGTAAACTTGCTAATAAAGTTTTTTGTTTATATTTTTTTCCTCAGTATGGGGTTTGAACTCAGGGCCTTATGCTTGCTAGGCAGATGCTCTATCACTTGGGCCACACTCCCAGTGCTTTTTTGCATTATTTTTCAGGTAAGGTCTTCTGCTTTTTGCTTGGGGCTGGCCTCAGACTGATTTGCCATACCTGACTTACTTGTTGAGATGGGATTTCAATAACTTTTTCCCTGTGCTGGCTTCGAACCTAGATTTCCCTCTCTCTACTTCCTGAGTAGCTGGGATTACAAGTATGAGTCACCATATGCCTGGCCTGGTCCTTAGAAGTGTTAATTACTAGGCAATTATTACACTGTCAATTAACATCAGAAAAGAACAAGAGGTGACTTCCCGCATTCACGAACTAAGTGTCCACATGTGAAGAAGACTTTACTTACACATTATAATCACAAAGAAAGAAAAAACAAATCAAGATCACTTGTCCATATAATCAAGAATGGGAGTTGAGCCCTGAATGCACAGCCTCTCAAAGCAAGCAGGACACAGCGTTGGCTGTCTTTTGGAGCCATACACTGGCTGACTCATGTCCTTGGATTCACAAAGCCTGAGCCACTCAGTGGTGCTAACGCTGACCAACAGGGAATGGTTATTCCTAACGAATTTCACTAAGCTGTTGCACACAAGAAGCCTCATTTTTCTATCATCTCTAAACTGCTGAGTCACATACTGATACCATCCCTGAAGATTTCCAAGAAGACAAAGGAGGGTGATCATGGAGCCAGCTAATTAGCATACTGTCAAAGCCAATAGATCCAAAGCTCAGCGTATTCCTTCTTTACTCCTATGGAGTGGAAGCAAACTCTTCTACCTAGAAGCCTCAGAATGACATCCAAGTGCTCCAACAGTAGGATGATGCCTGTAATTCCAATACAGATGGACCATGACTAAGTTCTCGTGAGAGTGTGAACAGTCGTTGCTGGCCAATCGATCATCCATGAGGACACACATACTTGTCACTGTAGCTAAAACATCTAGAAAGAGCATCCACTAATGTAACAGAAAGCATCATTTTAACACTCAATTTCCTTTCAGCCAAAATATGAATTATCTGGAAAGATTCACAGGCTACTTGGCTAAAAAAGATGTAACTATTAAATAAATGTTTTAATTTTTTCTAAGTGCCTGATAACATTAATTTTATTTCTCTTGCCCAATCTCCAAGTTCCTGACACATTCCTTCTACCAGAATCAACTTCATTTATCTGTTACTAAAGCTTCAGATGACGCCAGGGGAAGTTACTTCAAATGTTGATTTTTCTCCTTAACAAAGTCACAAAACTATCCAGTCTACTGTCTATCAATGCCAACGTGAGAAGTGTAACTGCCCAATTCTGTATGAAAATAGTCTTTCAACCTCACTTGTCTACAACTTAATCCTTGGCCTAAGTAATTTTGCAGTAAGGCAAGGACCGGTACAAATGAAAGCCAGGTGAACCATGCATACAGTGAAGCCATGTGGCAGTGAAGTGCCCCAACCCTGGGAGTGTGGGGTGAGAAGCCAGCTGCTAATAAAATATACTTGGGAGAAAAGCAAGTGCTAGAAAGTAGAACGGGAGCTTAAAAAGCTATCCATGGCTTAATGAACTCTTTCCGTCAGTCCTTAAAATTACATTTGTCTTGAAACTGAAATCTAGATCCCCTTGGCTGCATTGTAAGTCTCCCAGGACTTTTATCGTTGCTGTCTGGAGCACCAGGAAGGAATGGCAAGAAAAGATGTAGCGTCATCTGCTACTTTCCTTTCAATGTCATGAGTAAGTCCTATTTGATAACATCATGTTGATGACAAGCATTTTTACAAGTAACCATATTATCCATTATAATTAGCTCTCTTACAATGTTAAAAAATATAAAATTAAAAATGACTTATACCAATTAATCATGACTGTATCAATTTTGAACTGAATAAACAAACTGTATGTGAACTTGGCAAAAAAGAGAAAACAAGATGAGAGCAGAAGCAATGTGTCAAATGGGCCACCAGCAAGCGGCTTTATTTGGGGAGAGGGATAAAGGATTAAATTTACTGTTAACATGAGACTGTTTAGTTTCATTTAAGCATAAACCTGAAATTTCAAATGGCTATCGTGGTCATACTACATACACCCACTGCACAGTACATGCCTGGGACAGTCAATTGCAGGAAATTTCACAACCAACTCCCTGCTCCTCACTATGTTATACAGTAAAAGTTGGTGCTGAAACAAGTTTCAGTTGCCAGGCTAAGCCTTTTTGCTTTGCAGTTGAACACGTATCTTAACATGCCAACGTTTTCCTATTAGTCAATTAGTATTAAATTAGGATGATTTCTTTTTTTTCTTTTGGTCCTCTGAATTAAGATTCCTCTTAAGAGGTGGTTCACTCCTATAATCCTAGCTACTCAGGAGGCAGAGATCAGGAGGATTACAGTTTGAAGTTAGCCCAGGCAAAGAGTTTTCAAGACCCTAGATCAAAAAAAAAAAAAAAAAAAAAAAAACCCCTTCTCAAGAAAAGGGATGGTGGAGTGGCTCAAAATATAGGCCCTGAGTTCAAACACTAGCACCACAAAAAAAATTTTTTTTTTCTTCTGAGGCATGAGGTACTTGAGAATGTGCAAACCTCTTTTAGAAAGCTTTTCTGGCCAATGGTAAAAAATTTAGTGAAACTAAAGTCTAATTTCATCGTAACTGGAACTAGCTTGCAGTATTTTGATATGCACATTTAAAAACATGAATGTAGTTTAAGAAAACACACCATTATATCAGATATTCCAGGATTCCTTAAAAGGAATCCATTTAATCAACCTCAGTATGTTTTCTTTTGTTGCCTCATCTCCTTATAAGCCACTGTCTCCTTAAAACTCTGTTTAACAGTCCTGGACATAGCTAATTCACTCATTTAAGCCAAGAAATAGTTAAACTTTTGCTATACATCAGGCACTGTTTTAGGTGTGAGCATAGACAAAACCAGGACAAATTCCCATCCTCAGGGAGTAGCGGGACAATAGGACAAGATAAATAGTAGGCAAAAACAGTTTTTAAAACAAGGTATGGTGTGATGAGTGGCTTCTCTGGGGAAGTGATGCTTGAGATAAGCTAGAAAGAAGATCTTAACCACAAGGAGTAACTGCTACTCGTGACCCACCATCTGCTGTGATTCTCATTCACCAATGTAATACAAGGATATGTGGCAAAGGTGACTTGTGGACTGTGGGTAAACTAGGTTTTTTTTTTTTTTGTGGTACTGGGATTTGAACTCAGGGCCAACATCTCAAGCCACTCCCCAAGCTCCCTGCCCCGCCCCAAGATAGGGTCTTGCAAACTATTTGCCCTCCTGAGTAGCTACAATTGCAGGTGTGGGTTACCAGTGCCCAGCCAAACTAAGCTGTCTTAACTCCCTAGACAACATGTTAAAAGGTGTCATGACTCTTCAACCAAGGAAGCCACTGCTGACTGTTCAGCCTTAAGTGATGTCTCCCTCCTTTTCTTGTACCCCTTCAGCAACTGCTATCTATCTGCATGGCTCATTCCTGCAATTTGGTACTGCTGAAAGATACTGTATAAGAGTTCCAGGATTTGGGATGGGGATGTGACTCAAGCAGAAAGCACCTGTGGCCCTGAGCTCAAATTCCAGTATTGCACTCCCTCCCCCAACCTTGCAAAAAAAGTCCCAGGACTTGAAAGACTAATCAGATATGTACCTGATAGCACAAAAAATGTAAACATAAAGAACAAAATACAACATATAAAGTAAAAGTTGGGCCATAAGAAAGAGCTATCAGATATAAGAACATGCAGACATTACTGCCAGCAGGAGAAGTACAGGAAGCATCATAGTACCAGGAAGGGCAGCAGAGCAGGGAGTGTCTGTGAAGTCTGAGGATTTGGACAGGTAGATAGATTTGTTGTATCCCTAATCAACTTTTAAATAGATCTTAAAATATTTTCAGCTCCAGATCTTAAAATATTTTCAGCTCCCAACCAGGTTACAAACTCAAGGAGTGAAGGCTTGATAACTTATCTTTCTGTGATACTCAGCAGAGTAGTTTTCTGAGTGGGACCAGTCATTTGTTGATTTACTATAAGAGATGAGTTATCAATTTCAGCACTAAAGGAATGCTGATATGGAGCTTTTGGCTTTTGCAAAAGATGATCCTTGGAACCTCTTACTGTATCACTATTTCACTTTGGAGGGACAATCCTAAAAGGTTTTTCCCATAACTAAATGGCATTACACATGAACATGCACACACAATGTACTTCTAAATACACACATACGTCATTATACCTTAAGTGTAGCATCCCACAAAGTTATTTTAAACTTGCACTGCTAGGCCTGTACTTTAGAGAAAATTTTTTTCATTGATCAAATTTTCCCATTCAGTTCTTCAAAATCCCTTCTCAATTTAACATCTTAAGTCAGAAGGAAAGCCAAAATAACATTTTTTTATTGGTAGTATCATAACATTCCAAAACATATTCCACTGCCAAACTTACCATACAGAGCTGTCCAAGTTTGATTAATTACATCTAGACACACAGTTCCTGACCTGAAACAGATGAAAAGAATGGCATTAAAAAAATTAGCAAGTTAAGTGCATGCACTGGCATTTATCAAGAAAACTATTTTTAATAGGTCCTTTAAAAAGACACCCAATTGGGGGAAAATATGATGAGAAGCAGAATACTTACAAGGTCTTAAGTATCTCCTTTACAGACAGACAAGGCAAAATAGAAAACATGCAATAAAGAAACTAGACAACACCTGAATCAGATGATCAGAATTAACCCTGAGAACATGGGCAGATAGACACTGTGATACCCTGAGGATGACAAAATCCCACTGTGTATCAAGTGTGAGTATACCCTGAATCTAATAAGGAAACAGACAAACCCAAATAGAAGGACAATTCATGAAATAACTATTCTTTAGAAATGTCAACTTATAATAGACAAAGGCAGAGTAAGGAACTGTTCCATATTAAAGTAGTTTAAGGAAACCTGACAACTAAACACAACATGTGAATATGGACTGAATCCTTTACTGAAAGAAAAAAAAAAGTGCTAAAACCTACTATATTGCTGATTAGACAAAAAGTATTACATATGTATTAAATTCCTGAATCTGACAACTTTGTTAGGATAACTGATAAAAAGAAATACCAAAGGACAAAGGGACACAGTACAAGCATTGTATAGAAGCAACCTAGTCATACAATGTTAGGAAAAACTTCATATGCAAGTTGTATGAAAGACAGCAAAACTGAATGCCTTGAAGAGTCTGAGTAGTTATGTATTCGGAGCTAGAGGCATGGCTCAAGGAGTAGAGCACCTGCCTAGCAAGTGTGAAGCTCTGAGTTCAAACCCCAGTACAGCCAAAACCAAAGCCATATAATCATATACTCTATTTTTTTTCATTTTTCTTTTATTATTCATATGTGCATAAAAGGCTTGGTTCATTTCTCCCCCCTGCCCCCACCCCCTCCCTCATATACTCTAAATAGCACTGAAGAACAGAAAGGCTACACTGGAATGTTTTTGAATCTTTTTTTTTTTTTGGTGGCACTGGGGTTCGAACCCAGGGCTTCATGATTGCTAGGCAAGTGCTTTTACTGCTTAAACCACTCCACCAGCCCCATCACCCCTCATTTTAAAAATATCACTAATAAAATATAAGGAAAGAAAGGAATAATTAAGATTCATTATCTGAAATGAAACTAATTTACATTTGCCTTTCTCTCAACGACTAAGAAATACTGAACTCTCAAAGGGCTAAAAATAACACATGTATATACTGAAAACAGATCTCGAGTTGTGGCTATACAATAAGAATTGAGATGTGGACTATTACAAATGCTAGCAGTACAACAGTTGAAGTGGGAACTCAACGCTTTAGAATATCATATCCCTAGGTTCTACAGTTTCAGTGACCATTCATACAGTCCACCTCCCTCCCCAAAAGATCCAAAATGATAACTGAAGGTTCTTTTATAATAGGGAGAGAAGTGAACTCTAATAAAGAGGAGCTGCTGCTAAAATTTGAACATTTTTAAATAGTTACTTACGCTTCATCAATGTTGGGATGGAAAATTTTATTCATGAATCCTGTAAAAAGAGATGTTAATTAGCAGCAAAAAGTATCCAGGGAACAATGAGTTTTAAAGCATGTCAGTACTGGAAATAATTTCAGTATTGGAAAAAGGTGGTAACATTCATAACTCATTTTCAACCTTAGGTCTTTGACTAAGATTATCCTCTTCTGTTGACTCTAATTGACTAAAATACGTAAGAGTTCTAGCCACAAACAAGCAAACTTTGGGAGAATTCAGCTTTTTAAATAAAATAACCTTAAAAGCAACTACTTCCTGAGCTGTGAAGGTACTTGCCAAAAGAGAATTTATAATACTAAATGATTTGTAACTAGTACTATGATAAAAGAAACTTCATTGTGACTTCCCCTTCTACAGTTTTGTTGTTCAAGCTCTAAATTTGAGGTTCTGCACTTGAACTTCTCCTTCTGAAGCTCATTTACTGGCATCATTCGGCTACACCGTGTGCAGAACATGAATGAAGGTGCTGAAATGCAAGAGGAACACTGCTTCCAAACCACAAAGGATTTCCTAAGAACAGCGACCAAAGTATTTCCTTTAATTTTAGTCTACTCATTCAAGGAAACCCAGTTTTGATTAAAATTGAGGCAACCAAGAAATGAGGCAAGGAATTAAAAATAAATTTTCTAAGATATCTGTATCTGTCAGTGATTTATTCCTAGAAAAATCAGTACAAACTATACTGCTATTTAAATTCTAAGGAGAAATTTATTTTCTAACTTAAAATCAGTATGTATGTGTGCCAATGCCAATATTCTAGAGATCCACCATCAAAGCAGGTATTTTGTCATCCCATCACTTGTTTCCTTATTTAGGACTCCCTAATTTTGTTCTACACTTTCAGTAACTACAGGGTCTTTACTAAGGTGACTTTCACCATCACTGTCCCCACTCCATCCTCATAGGTTCTCTCTCTTTTAAAACATACTGCTCAGTGCTTAGGTGGCAGTTAATTGTGTTTATTTAGGGTACAAAATAAGATAGCACACTAGTCTCTAAGAGGTCACTGCAGCAGTAGGACAAGAAATGGGAAGAAGTAACTTTCATACTTAGGGAGTGTACAGAGAAAGGGGAAGCAAGTCTGAAAACACAGAGGTAGCAAGAAGGCATCAGAAAAGACTCAAGTGGTCTGCTACAGACAGTCTCCAAAAATCTTAGGAATGTTCCTCTAATTAGAAAACAGGGGTTAAGAATACAAAACCTCTGGCATTTCAGTCTTTTGATTGCTCTAGCCACTCTAAGTACCAATCCCACTACTAATTCTCAGTTTTAAATACTTTATGTTGAAATAGCTTAAAGTTATTACTACTACAAAGAGCCCTGAAATATTTAAGTTACTTTGATGTAATATTTGTGTCGAATATTAGTTAAGGATAATAAAGGTATTTTAAAGTCTAGACTTAACAGATGTGTTTATGAAGTGATTATAAAAAGCTGATAAAAATAGACCTAATATTAAAAGGAGAAAATGCAGGGAAAAAATTCTCAAGACCTTAGAAAAATATTAACACACATGTCCAAGAGGACACTGGTAGAAACAATGCTCATAAAAACCAAGAACTAAATTCAGCCCTATCAATGGGACTAGATGAACTGTAGACCACCCACATACTGGGAGTCCTATACAGACATAATGAACTAGCTCAGTATGGATCAACTTAAATACAGCTAAAGCAGAGTTTAAAAAAAAAAAAAAAGCAGCAGCAAAACTAAGTAACAGAATGAGCTATTCATAGTCTGATACCACTTAATAAATTAAAATGAAGCAGTAATAATCCTTCATGCTTTGTGGGAAAACTGTACTACACCAACACAGATTAAAGATGTATAAGTGTTAGGGTATAGAGCCACGGTAGTGGTGCGATTAGGAAACAGAACGGGAAATGGTGGTTAAAGACAATTTTATCCACCAGGAGTGGTAGCATACGCCTGCAGTCCCAACACTTGGGAGGCTAAGGCAGGAGGAACACTAATTTCGAGGCCAGCCTGGCCTATATAGCAAGACCGTGTTTGAATTTAAAAAAGAAAAACAATTTTACTTAACACCATATTCCTTTTGAAAAGAAACAAAGTGCTTGTATATTATCCCTGTAAGCAGAACTTGAGCACAGCAATGTGAAAAGGCCTGAGTGCCAAAGGAGACTCCCTCCTTATTTCTACTTCTCTTCTGAATGCCCTACATTTATTTTCATGTTTATATGATGTGCAATTTTAACAGTTAAAAAATATTTTGAGATGTTGTATCTAAATAATACAAATTCCATACAATAAAAATCAGAAGACCCTCAGCTTATAGGCAGATGATCCTCAAGACTGGTTACACATAGAAACACACTGCTATCCCAACCGCAAGGGAACTACAGGGTGTCCTGTTACGTGGCACAGGCTGGCCTTGAAATCACAATTCTCCTACCCTCACCTCCCAAGTGCTGGGATTACATGCTCAGTGCTGGAAATTCAGGGTTGGGGATAAATCTAGGCCCTCACACATGCTAGGCAAGTATTCAACCACTGAGCTATATATCCCCAGCCCAGGAAACTTTCTGACTAGTGGGAAACAAGGTTGAACCACTATGTGGTTTAACACAAGAGAACTGGTCTGCTGTGTGAAAAGTATTTTGCTTATAGCTACTAATAAGAATTCAAAATGTGTTCTGGTACTTAAAATCCTGCCTCTGCTGAAACTCTCAAAATTACCATACAGTGAAGCAATGTCTATGGCAAAAGCTCCCAGTGCCAGCTACAGATGAGACTCACCTGGAGGGTTCTTTAGACAATAAAGCTCGTTCCATGCTAGAAGGTGGGTAGTGTTATGGAGAAAAAAACAGTAAGGCTTGTGGGGGGAGGGGGGTTGCAGTTGGTCAGGGAAGACCTTATTGAGAAGGTGCCTTACTCGAAAGGAGGTGATGGAGCAGCATTCCACTTAGGACCCAAAGGAAGAACATTATGTTACCTGAACAGGCCAAGTAGAAAGCACATCTCAAGTCAGCTTCATGCGTTTGAAGAATAGCAAAGAGCTAAAGAGAAGTAAGGGACAGAAGACCACATGTAGGATCAGAGAGGGGATCAGCATGGGGACCTTTTAAGGTTGCTGGCTTCCATTCTAAGGGAGATGGGAAGCTACTGAGACTAGTGTCTGAACACTGACATGGTATTGACATCCTATAAACAAACAAAGACAGCTAGTTGGAGGACAGCAATCAGTTCACAGCACCCCAGTGTCAGGGAAAAAAAGATAAGGAATGGTAAATTGCAAACAAAATGGAATGGGAATTCTACAGGGAAATTAAGCTTCAACAATCTGATACACAGGTCGCCTTAATGGTGTAAGCCACGAAAACACTGATGGTGAAGAGCTTTAACTATTATCAAAACTGTCTCTGAAAGAACAAACTGCCTCCCTCATTGACCATGGCCTGGAAGTGTACACTTGGAATCAATATAGTTTCTACACTGTTTTCAATTAAATCCTGATTTAGCCTGGTTGAGTACATAATAGAGGGCCAAAAAGAACTCAGTAAACATACTTCAGGATTGGCACCCAAACCCCTGGGCCCTATTAAGAATAAAACACCATCTGAGTGATCTGACACGGGGAAGAAGCAGACTGCAAAGAGCAAAGTACTAAATAGGACAAGGATTTTAGCCCCCAACTCTTAACTGCAAGCCCTGGGCCAACTGCTTCAATTCTGTGGATCTGTTTCTTTGCCTATGAAGAAAAATAGCTGGACTGTATAATATCCACAATCTCCACTCTTATCCTGTATTTAAGATCCTATCAGTGCCCAAAATCTAGGATTTAGTAACGATAGACAGAGCTCTGAGAACAGAGGACTTAAGGCGAAATGTTCAATGGTGAAGTCCTTAGAGGAAATTAAGTCTGTAAGGCAGCATTCTTAGGTACAGAGTATTCTGGAGAATACAATACGAAACTACCAACATGCTAAATTATTTTTTAAAAATGCAAATCAAATCAATGGGAAAAAACTTCTCTTCTTTACATTTGTTACTGGACAAACTGCTGGCAGCATTTCTGACAAAACCATTTACATTCTGGACAACAATGCCAACTTTTGGATGAGGAGGGGAGGAGACTGGGAAAGAACAAACTAGGAATTCAGAGAAGGAACATTCTCAGGACCAAGCATGTTTGCCCTGGCACATTCCCCTTCCTTTTGGCAATGCTACCACCACAGTAATGAATATGTCTGCAATAAGAGAATTTCCCAACACTTGTTTCCATTCAACTACAAACTATTTTGAAGATATTTTATGAGCATATACTTTGGAAACAGCCTTTATGGAAATATGCTAAGTGTGTCTTCATCCCCCACCGCCACCCCCACCCCCGTGCTAGGGATCAAACCCAGGGCCTTGTGCATGCTAGGCAAGTGCTCTATTACTGACATATCCCCAGCATAGCAAGTCATTTTTAATCCACATGATTTAAGGGTTTTTGGTTTTTTTTTTTTTTTTTTTTTTTTTTTTTTTGGTAGTACTGAGGGGTTGAACTCTGGGCCTTACGGCTTGCTGGACAGGTGCTCTACCACTTGAGAAACTCTGCCAGCTCATGATTTGAGATTTTATCCAATACCAAACATCTAATGATATATCTCTGCGATCTGACTAGATAAAATTCTCTGACATTGCTCTAGCAGCTTGTTAAAAAATAAAAAAAAAAAAAAGGAAAAAAGAGGAGGGCTGGGATAGTGGCTCAAGTGGTAGAGCACCTGCCCAGCAAGTGTGAAGCCCTGAGTTCAAACCCCAGTACCACCAAATAAATAAAACTTAAAAAGGAAGGAGGGGACCGACAATAGAAATAAATATAGAACAAAGCTCACACCTATGTCCTGTATCTTTTAATGGGAGGGAGTCAGGTGGTTTGTAACTCTGCAGGAAGAATTCAAAGCATATGTAGTTGATGTAAAACTATCCTTAAAAAGGAAAAGGCAGAATATGCTGTGCTTTTGATTGTTCCACTTCAATATCCAACTGATCTAATACAAATCTTTTGACACACAGGCTAATAAAAAGAGAAGGTAAATATTATTGTGCCAGTCATGCTGAAAACTCATTTTTATTTCAGCTTATTTCTGTGCAAGTCCCAGAAAGGAGTATGAATAAAGTTTCATGTACTTGTGATAGTGAGGTCAATGTGCAAATTCATCTTATTTTCAACTTTTACTTTCTTTGAGAGAACACTAATGATCAAACTTAGGGTGATGCAATACCCAGGGCCAATCACCTACCTAGGAATTTCACTCAGAATTATCTTGACAAAATGGGAGGTTGGACAAATGACTAAACAAGGCAAATCCACTCTAAATCAAGTAGGTGAAAAGGGCCAAAGGCAAAAATGGTAGCACTATCCCAGGATAAAATGAGTCTGGACTGAGATGGTTGAGGGCAGCTGTGGCTGATTCAACTTAATCACAAGCTTATGAATTCCTGTGAGAAAACAGTAAGTGAAAACATTAGGTCATTCTGATATTCTAGCTTCAGGACAAATGCCTACAAAAAGAGGACTATTCAAAACAAAACTGATTTGGTGGGTTTTTTTGGGTTTTTTTTTTAAAGTAGGTACAATAGCTCAGTGGTAGAATGTGCCTAGTGAGCACAAGGTCCTGGGCCGAATTCCCAGCAACAAACCAAAAACTATAAATATAATAAATGAGATTGAATCTAATCTTTTTTGTGGTACTGGGGGGTTGAATTCAGGGACTTGCACTTCTAGACAGGTACTGTACCACTTGAGCCACTCTGCTAGTTCTACAACTTTTTGAAGAGTAATAGCCTGGATCTTAGCACCTAACACACAGGAGATGACCAGAGTTAGAATGTTCCAGCTGAATAAGGTGTGAGAATGCTGCCAGCTTCACTAGTGACAGGCATATGACAGCTGTGTGCATTAGTGCACAACCTGACAGATTTTTATCTTACCTCAGACAGCCAGGCCCAGCCTGGGGCAGCCTGCACCCGGGCAGAAGTCTCTTCAGAGAGCTTGGCCTTTCCTAATCAGGAGAGATGGACCTGGGCTGGTCTCTTCTTGAGGAACCAAGCAAGGAGCTCACTCTCAATGCCCTGTGTCATGGGAACTTCTGAACTGATCCTGTGTGTGTTCAGGAGATCTAAACTCAACAAGGGGTCCTCTTTTCTGTTTCTTCCTTTCTCTCTGATAATATGGAGTCTGAGGAATGGGCTGGATGGATAAGAAAAGTTCATTTATAACTAAGAAAAGGTGAAGTGTTATCCTTCAACAGCACAACCCTTCTACCAACCTAGAAGATTACCAAAACCTTCACCCTACTTGCCTGTAGTTTCATTTTTGGAAGACTGTACCCCCTTTCCCATCTCCAAATTTTTCTTTCAATCTCCTGGTCATTCATATAACCACACTGTTGGAATCTGGCAGTATCTATTTTCAGAGCCAGGGCAGAATAGAACACACAGGACTTGAAATCACGAGACCCAATTTCAAGTCTCTAACACCTTGACAAACAAAATTGAAATTAAAAGCTCAGACTTTTGCCAGTTTCTTAATCTCCTGGTCTCCCTATTCCCTTATTCCTAAAACTAGACAAATAATGTTATCTACACATTGTAGGACTGTCATGAAGATTAAGTGAGCTAATATAAGTAAGGCATTTGAACAGTAACTGGTATACAGTAAGCACTCAGTAATTTTACTTTTAGGTGCCAGGCATGGTGGTTCACGTCTATAATCCCAGCACTTGGGAGGCAGAGGCAGGAAGCCTGTGAGTTGAAGGCCAGCCTGAGCTACACAGTGAGACTCTGTCTCAAAAAAACCAAGGGCTAGGGATGTAGCTCAGTGGTAGAGTACTTGCCTAGCCTGTGCAAAGCCTGGGTTGAATCCCCACCCAGCACCATGTAAAAAAAAAAAAAAAAAGTTTTCGTTTAGTAAGTTTAGGCAAGTATTTTCTTTCTCTTTTTCTTTGGGGGGGTATTTTTATTTATTTTTTGAGATAGGGTCTCATTAACTAGCATGGATTGGCTTGAATTCATATTCCTCCTGTTTCAGACTCCCAAGTGCTGGGATTACAGGTATGTACCACTCCATCATGCCCAGCCAAGTAATTTAATCTTAATTTCTTTTGCCATCCTAAAATGAACATAACTGCCCCACATATCCATCACCTAGTCCTTTAGGTACTGTCAAGAAAAACAGAGGATTTTTTATTTGGAGGTATTATATTTCCTGTAATCTTATCACACTGGAAAGGATACAGTTATTCTAATACTTATTAAGCACCATTCTAATTGCATTTCTTATGGTTAAAAAAAAAAAGAACAAAAATCCCCACTAGACTGGAAGCCAGACTCTGTGCAACTAGTTTAGTAGTGATGTATCTCAGTCTGATTTTTTCCATTCTAAAAATGAGGCAACTGGATGAGATAATCTCTGAAGTGCATCTTAACGATACGGTTTTCACCAACACCAGTAATATGAACACATCTTTAACTGTGTGAACACATTTTTCAAAGGGAACTAAGACATTATTTGTAATGTTTTAAAAAGAATTTCAGTTTAAAGAAAAAGGAAGCCAAGACTGTATGTTTTCATTCTGATACCAAATCCTAAACAGAAAAAAATGGCTTTAATGCCAAAAAGATGTCAGAATAACTAGATCAAAGTAGAGGTCACCCACTTTAAAGTAGGAACTCAGGGAGCATATAAAGGAATTTTTATAGAAGTGGTATAATGAATTGTCATTGGCAGAATTCAAACTGGCATTAAGTCAACTACAGTGGAAAAGTCCTCTGTAGTAGCAAGCACATGCAAAGGTAAGGTTACCCTTAGAGAAGGGGAGGGAAAGCTAATGTATTATTGTTACCTTGACTAACAGCAAGATGAAGTGGGATGAATTTTGATAATATTGATCACCAACAGCAGGTTTTCATATCAACAGGGCTAATTTGACCACTGGTTTCTCTCACTGAGAACCTCAGCACCTGATCCCTAATTCCCTCTCTGCCCCAACTCCTGCCATTTTTAGTGACATTACCTTCCTGACAGTCTGGCCTCTCAGTTCCTTGTACTTCTCCTCATGACCTTTCCTCTATCTCATCCCACTTCCACTTCCCCAGGACGTATCAGAACTTTGACATTCCTATAAACAGTTCCACCTCCAGATCACAAATCTAGATATCTCTTCTCCTACCATGGTCTCCTGTCCTAGCCAAGGAGCTTCCTATCTCAGGAATTGTTCTTTCACTGTGAACTTTAATTATACTGATCCTCCCATTTTCTTCCTACCTGCCAACTCTCTGATCTTCACTCTCTTCTTATGATTTAAGAGATATCATTATCACCACTCTCTAGCAGTCCTCTGCAAACCCTTTGCCCTCTCCCCTCCAAAATGCCCACCCAGCTAATCTACATATAGAAGAAGCAAATCAGGCACATCTGCTACAGTCATTCCTCTCTGTCCCTTCAAGGGGAAATTGTTCCAGCACCCATACCGAAGTTTACAAAAGCTCAATTCCTTTATCTAAAACACCACCGTATTTATTTGCGTACGACCTACAGACATCTTTCATATACTTTAAGTCATCTCTAGACTGCTTACAATAACTAATACAATGTACACATCATATAAATAGTTGTGACATTGTATTGTTGGGAGGTGGAGGACAATGATAAGAAAAAACATGCATACATGTTCAGTACAAATGCAATTTTTTTTCCAAAATACTTTTGATCCATGGTTGGTTGAATCAGTGGATGCAGAAACCTTGGATTCACAGGGCTGACTGAATGCCAGTACGTAGACATTCATTCATTCATTCATTCAATTCATTCACTTGAATATTCTTCTATGGAACAGGCAGTGTATCAAGCCATGAATATTTGCTGAGGGCAGAGGGTTGTTAGTAAAACAGAGCCAGGGACTGCCTTCATGAGTTTACATCTACTGAGGTGGGAGAGGGGAGCTGTAAGTAAACATATACCAACTTGTCATCATGTGCTCAACAATCTTTCATAGACTACATCTACAATCTACCTCTTCCTTTCGTTAGCAGCTTGCTACCTCATTCTCCAACGACTTCCATTTTACCTCACCCTGCAAATCTCCCACTTTCTCTTCCTCCCTTTGTTACTTCATCTCTCTCCTCTTGTTCTCACTTTTACTCAACAGTCATGCCTATTTTCCTCAAGATGGGAGACAAATGGCAGACCCTATCTCACTTGCCATTTTTAAAATCCTCCCAGCATAAGTTTCTCCTGCCTCAGTTCACTCTCCAATGCTCGTGCTACTGCCAACACAGTCCTCTGTGCTCTCACCTTGCCCTTTCATTCCTTCTCAAAGGCATAGTTTCTGCAATACTCCTCTCGACCCCAGCATCACCAAAGATGATCATCACCTCCATGCAAAGAGCACTTCAACAGCCTTCAAAATCTTTCTTTTTTTTTTTTTTTTTAAAAAAAGAACCTTCCCTTTGGATGATTTCTCACTTTTACTTTCAGTACTGGGGGCGGGGGGGGGGGTTGTTGAACTCAGGGCCTTGACCTTGCTAGCCAAATACTCTATTACCTAAGCCAAAATTTCAGCCCTTATATAGGCAAGTTTCTTTAGAGCAACATAGATCTACACCAGAGTTTTTCAACTTCAGCACCCTGGTCCACAACAGTGGGATCTTTTCCAGACAACAGCTTGTATGTGTAACTTCAATGTGTAACTTTGCTTCTACTAGTCACTGGTACTGTTGTTTTTACCCACTGTAATAGAGGGATCATTAAAAAACAAAATCCAACCTTTTACTCTCCTTGTTAAAAGCCTTTTAATAATCTTTCCATTACATTTAAAATGCAATTCAAGCTCGTAGCCTGGTCTGCAAAAGCCCTCTGTGACCTGGCCCCTGCCTGTGCTTTGATCCTATATCACACCTCACTTTTTAACCAGCCTCCCCAGCCTGGAGCATTGGTACTTGAAATTTCTCCTGCCTGAAATACACTTTCCCTGATCTCAGAGGATCAAGGCTGGCTTTCCTTAGGGTCTCAACTTAAATTTACTTTGTTAGAGAGGCTTTCCTAAATAGCTAATCAAAGGTAGCTATTCTATCATATGAATTCTCTGCATAAAGCTATCAGACACTTTATATTTTGCTTTATCTTTTCCCCTCAAAAGATGGTAGTGTTAAGAGAGCAATTTGTTCATTTCTGTATCTCTGGCACTTAGAATAATGCCCAGCACATAGCAGGAATCCAATAAATATGTGGAACTGAAGAAATGATGCAGGATGAATTTAAAGTCTCACCTGCCAGGCATAATTTAAACACTACTAAGAAGAGAGCTTTCAACAACAGCTACAGTCTCATAGCATTATCTGAACAAACGTTTACAAAAACTTTCCCATTAAAGCCTTACTTTTGTCTACTGGAATTCAGAAGATAACTATTTGAAAAAGGAACTGAATTGAAACCCAAGGTCATGAAAGTAGGGAAGGACATAGGTGATCTTAATGGAATTTTGCTTCCAAGGACCAAGAAGTCATTTAATTTGTACAAATACTGTGGTGGTCCAAATAAGCTTTGTTAAATGACTAATCCCAAACCTCTCATGAATGACATACTCCTCTCCACTCTGACTAAGCACTGCTCGCTTAATTTACTCACACCAGCCCCTGGGGGAGTAGACGTACAATGTTTCCATCTAGGAATACACAAAATAAAATTGTGTTATAAATTCTATAGCTAGTTTAGTCACAGCATATTCTAAAACTCCACTCCAAAAATAGTGTGAGATAATCTGACTATAGTGAAATAAAAAAAATTTATGCCAAAAGAATCTAATATTTTGACAATGAAAAGATTAATAAAAAAAATTGGGGGGGGCTGGCAATATAGCTCAGTGGTTTAATGTTTGCCTACCATGCATGAGACCCTGGATTTGATTCCCAGTACTGCAAACAAACAAATAATAATACTACTACTATACACTGAATAGAGTATCTTTCAATTAAGAACCTATGGTAGACTTGAAAGGGACTCTGACAAGCTATCTAGTCCACTGGAACAGGAAACCTAAACCATCTTACTCAGATGATAGCCTGACTGACATAGTTCAATACAGCATTTAAGGTATTACTGTTGTCCAAAACAAGGGTTTGGCTAACTCTTGCTATATATCATTGACATCAAATTCCACTGTAGCATGAGCTTGCTGGGTTTTCACCTGG